CAGGGGAGGCTGGGTGGCTTGAAAGAGAGCCCATCTTTTAGAATTAAGGTCCCTGCCTTGGATTCAAAAGAAGACAAGCCTGAAAGCATGGTTGGCTTCAATTTTTCCTCCCACATCTCTGGGTAGCTTCTGTCTTTGACAGCTACCCTGCCCTGGCTGCTCACTTGTTTGGGTTGGACAAGGTCCACCAATTTTGGGCAGGTGTGCAGCCAGATGGCCCCAAGCTCATAGGCAGCCCAATCGATTTAGACAAAGCCAGAAATGCAGAGAAGCAGGTGACCCCTTTGTGGCTGCATGGTGATGGTGTTGAGTTCTCCACAGACTCACTCCTCACATTCTCATTTGGCCCTTGTCTCTATTCTCCTGCTTCAAGTGGCTTGAAACAAGGCCAAGTTGTGGACCATGCTTTCTGCCTGGCTGCATTTCCAAAGAGCGCACAATTGAACCACACCTGGCAACATGTTTATGAAATTCTAGCATGGAGTTTTCAAGCATTATTCCATGGAACACATCCCAGCACATGGTGGCTTGAGAATGAGCCTTTGCCACCTCAGTTCAAGAAGATGGCAGGCAAGCCAATCATTGAGAGAGGCCATACTTTTTTGGTTTGGCAATACCAAGGAGATTTAGAATACTTTGCAAATGTGCTGGGCATGCCACATTGGAACACGCCTGATTTTTGTTGGCTTTGCAATTGCCACAGGAACTTGAAACATCGATCTCCTTGGGGTTTTCAAGATAGCACCAATTGGCAACTGCTGGCACCCAGAGTTTGAAACAGAGCCAGTCTTCAAGCCATCCGTTCCTCACCAAGATCCCAGGTTGTGTGCAGCAATACAGGGTTGCAATTGACATGCTGCACACAGTAGATCTGGGTGTGGCTGCAAGAATTTGTGGCTCAACCCTTCATATGTGGTCATACCTGGTGGGTGGCAACAAAAGAGAGGCCCCCCACCACATGTTTAAAGTGTGGTCAGAGATCTCTGAGGCTTACAAGATCTTGAAAATTGCAGAAAGGTTCACAAACATTACCATCAATCAGTTCACCAATGGTGAGAAGCCATGGTCGCAAAAGCCATTGTTGAAAGGGAAGGCTGCAGCGCTGAGGCACTTGGTGCCTGTCCTTGCACTGGTGGCTTGGAATAAAGCCAAGCGCCCAGCAGGCACTTTGGCACAGGAAGGGGCTTGGAACAAAGCCAAGGAAACACAAGTAGCACTGCACATTGCAGAGGCCCTCACTTCACTGGCTTGCTTTTATGATATTTTGGCAGGAGCTGATGTTTTTTGACAAATGAGGAGGCCATGGAGGCTTGCAACAAAGCCAAGAAATGCCTCCAACATTATGTATGGCTGAAAGCAGCCATTGATGATGACTTGAGGTGGCAGCTGAGTCCCAAATTCCACTTCTTCTATCACTTGGCCCATTTGGCCAAGTGGCAAAACCCAAGGTCCTTTTGGACCTATGGGAATCAAAGCTGGGTTGGCCAGATGGCCACTCTGGCACATAGCTGCAGCCATGGGACTAGGGCCACAAAGCTTACAGATTCCTTCTGTCAAAAGTACCTTCTTAGGTACCAGTTGAGGATCAATGACTTTTTGTGAGGTTTGAAAGAGAGCCATGCCCATTTCCATGCTTGGGGGCTTGAAACAGAGCCATGCAGACCCAGCCAACAGAAAAAAGAACAGTTTCAAGATATAGGTTGTATCAACACCTCTGATCTTCTCTTTAAAGGTTTGGGGGTATAGGTTTTGGGGCTTTGTAAAAAACCGATCCCCAGGATTTGTAAAAACCGATCCTGGGGATTGGTTTCTCTTGATGCTGAGGATTGATTTTTTGATGCTTAAAAACCGATCCTGGGGATTGGTTTTTCTTGATGTTGGGGATTGGTTTTTTAAGATGCCCATCCCCCCCCAGAACCGATCCCCACAAAACCGATCCTGAGATTGGTTTTTTTCGATCTCGGATGCTCAGGGTAGGCCGGGGCGAGACGCCAACGTATCGCGAGTTTGTGCGTGTAAGGTCGGACGTGCGTTTTGAGCTCGTTTAGATGCCTGTCGGAAAGCGCGCAAGCCCGTGGCAAACTGCCAGGACAGGCGAGTGATTATATAGAGAGGAAGTCGGAACGAATTGCGCGCATAAACGGAAGCCGCTTCCGTTTGAGGACAGCTTTTTGGTGGTTTCCACATGGCTGTGATCCCCCTTGCTCCTCTCTTCCTCTCCCCTCGTTCTACCTCCTCCCGGCCGGCGCCCGGCTGTCAAGCGTAAGCCTTTCATGCTGTGGGAGGTCTTGCTCGGGGAGGCTGACCTTACCGTGTTTAGGGCGAAGTGCCTCCAAGGAAGCCTCCTAACCTTTCCTAACCAACGTGTCTCCGGCACTTGCGTGTTCCTCAAATGAACCAACATCAAAAGCCAAGTGCCGGCAGTAGTGGCGACAGCAGTCCAAGCAGGAGATCCAAAAGGAAGACCAGGGTCTTTGGCACCATGTCCACCACAGCAGTGAAGGGCGTCCCACTCGGAAGAGTGGCAACGTACATATGTACATATGTACATACATACATACATACATAATCATACAAACATAATCATACATACATAAGCATACATACATACATACATACATACATAAACATACATACATACATGCATACATACATACATACTTTCATACGTACATACATACATGTATACATACATACACACATCGAACCAGCCTTCAGCCATCTCCACGCGACCATTGCCGCGCGCGGACAAAGTCCCCTGCGTGGTTGCCCTGGTTTTCGTTTCTTCCTCCTCAGGTCTGGCTGAGTGAAGTTGACGTGTTTTCTCAACTCACCTGCGTTTGGGAATGCTACTGAGGCCACATGTCTTAGCTGATCTTATTTCAACAAAGCTCAGGTTTATGCAAAGCAACACCCTAATCCTTTCCCACGCAGTTGCCCCTCAGCTCTGGCTCATCACCTTTACATGTACCAACAAGATAATTTCGACTCGAAAACCACCCGGTAGGCTACGCGGAAGGCATTTTTGCGAAGTGATTTTGGCTTTCTGACGTGAAGAATAGCACCACAGGTCTGCCCCAGGCAGGAACAACCCGAGTCTTCAGAACGAGGATCCGGCTCCAGTTGAACATAGGTTATATACACTAGGAAAATGTGAAGCGTCGGTTGTGTTTGGCTAGAGCTAGAGTCGGGGCCAGTGTGGTTATGCAACTTACCACATTGGGGTTGGATGGGGTTGGCCAAGTGTGTTTTTTTTGTGTTGTTGTTGGGGGGAGGGTTAGTTTTGAGGATGGTGGAGAGTGCTGCGGTCAGGTATTGAGTGTCAATAATTTAGTTATGGATCCTTTTCTGGAGGTCACTGCACGTCGCCACATCACATGTCACATCACGCATGACCAACCATCACATGACCAAGTATCGCCACCGTACAAACACAGTAATTATCGTTATCAGTTTACCATAAATTGATAAAGTTCCACACCGGCGAGACAAGATTTAGTCGCAGCCAGCACATTTTGCAACAGATCATATCACCATTGCAGTTCGCAACGTCACAATTGCCACAACAGCTTGCAAAAAACAGCCCCACGTTTTGCCAAAGATCAGACGGGAACAAGGATGTATGAGTGTGCTGTATTAGCCTTGTAAGTTGGAGGTCATCGCTTGTAGGTTAGAGGCCATCGCTTGCAGGTTGGAGGCCATCGCATGTAGGTTGGAGGCCATCACTTGTAGGTTGGAGGCCGTCCCTTGTAGGTTGGAGGCTGTCGCCAGTAGGAATGCCTAAGGACTATCGGAGTTGCTGTGACCACGCCCAGGCCAAGCAAAGCCTCACGGCCAAACTTCTCAAACTCCCCGGCGGGTGGATGTATGTGTTACTATTTTCAATGTTTTTGTCTTCTTCGAAGACTGCCGCATGATGGCATTTCCATTGGGTGTCACAATTCATGTGTGATTTGAAATTTAATCTGCGTGTGAGACATCTCAATGAGACCTCATATTTAGGAAAATCAGCGTCATCACGCCATTCGGTCTTTGCCACATGGTGCACAGCGTGTGGGCTGTGAGTGTGGCCAGGGAGTCATGCTTTGCATTTTCCCATCGCCACTGCCACGCCCCGGCGTGCTTCCAGATCTTCACATTGATCTTGGTCTTGTCGGAATGCTGTTGGGCACAGTCTTTGTCGCAACGGATTCCATGGCTTGCGGCCAACGAGCTCGCAAACACCGACGAGGCATGACCCAGGCGGCCGATGACAAAAGCGACAAAGCGGGAGTTCGGGTTCTCAAACACAATTGAAAGATGGAGCACCACACGGACTCACGGACCGCAACAAAGGTACCTGCGAAGGTAAATGTGAAGGAAAGAGGCCAACAATCTTCCAAAACGACAGTTTGCTGAACAAACAACAGGATGGGGTTAGACAATGTTAGACAGAGACAGAGACGTCCACACTTCAACCAAACAGTTCAAGCAAAGGCGCTTACAACAAAAATTTATGGATGGTTCTTAACTAAAAACGGACCAGACAAACGAATCAACAAAGGCAACTCAAAAGCCAAGACAACCTCGTCGTCTCCGGACATTCGAACCGAAGCTGCAACCACACAGTCAAATCACATGCAACAACAGAACGTTATTATCCCCCACTCCCCCCACACACACACACACCCCAAGGCAGCTAAACCGGTGGATTCTGCATATAGTATTAGTATGTATTAGTCAGTACAACTACACGTGCGGTTTTCCTCTTGTAGGCTCAAACTTGCACCTGGGGATTCTGGGGAGGTTTTTCCTTCGAACATATCCTTCTTTTGCCCATGCTGGTCCCACGTGTCGCAAAGGACTGGTGGCCATTTCCACAATCAGCTTCGCTTTTGATTATTTTTGGCATATTGGGCATCACCGCCCGGGCCTCAATTTGGCACAGGCTGCCAGCATCAGCACTTCTTCAAATGATTCAAATGAGTGTGTTCAGCTTATAGGGCAGGTTTTGGGAGCCAACAGTTTTCAGAAGCCACTCAAACAACTTGAAACATCTTGAAACCACTGTACATAAAGGCGCAGCAGCAACACCAACACATAGATGGTCATAGTGTTTGCCACGGCCAAGATCCTCCGAAGAAGCACCAATAATTGTGTTTAGGTTTAAGGCACGCGTGCTGTTTTTCGAGTCAGCAAATAGAGGTTATGTCACAGTTTTGGTTGTGGGATGGAATCGTTGAACACGGGAAGGCTTCGGAAAGCTGGAAAAAGACTTCCGAGATGCCACAAGAACCCTTAGAGCCGTTGAAATGATCTTGGAGGTTTTAGAACAAATGTGCCAAGAAGCAAGGTGGGTTCACCTTCTTTGAGAAGCTTGTTTGCACCTACCAATTACGTTGTGTTTTTGTTGTCCAAGGTGAGTTCTGGATTTATGGGCTTCAAGGGCGCCAGGAAAGCGGCAATTTTGCCAACATGAGAGATGCAAAACCGCCCGGACATTGCACGTCAGGTTTTCCGAAAAGATGGGCGGCCTTGCAATGATGGTTCTGATTTTCGCATTTGTGCACATGCATAATTTCATGTATATAGTATATAATGATTGTTTTCCCACTGTTTTTGCAAATAGGTGAATACAGCGTGGATTGAGTGATGCCAAGGCCAGTACAGCTGTGCTCAGGGGCGCGCATCGACGTTTGCAAGATCAATGCGTTCTCACCATCATCGTTTGACTCTCTTTCTGAGGCACGGAAGTGAATATGGTAAATTTTAAAAATAGTCGATGGGTCGATGTCAGGCTGGTCTAAAAGCTGGACAGGCATCAAGAATTTGTGAGGGCTCATAACATGTCACGTCAGCGTGAGATCCAGCTCACTTGTGGCCAGGAAGCATTGAAACGTCTCGCAGTTCCCCAAGTTGTTTTTCGACTTCAATTGTCGCCCAGCTCAGAACTATGTACAGAAAATGATTTTGTCAAGCTTCAACATTAGGCTTTGGCGTGAAACTAAAAGAAGTAAGCTCGTAGGAAAACGACATTACCAGCATAGACCCCAGATAGCAACGAAGTACAAAAGCAGAAGAACAAGCAGGGAGATAAGACAGGAGGTGGACTTCCTTGAGGCCACGGAGACATGGGAAGCGGCCATTCACACTCCATGAAGATTGCTGTGCTGATGAAGCACTCCCGACCTCTGTGAAGAATGCGCTTCGAACTGCAGGGACAAAGCTCGAAGAGAACTAGGTGGCAAAGGCAAGCGCAACAGCACCAACGCGGTGACCTCTTCCAACCCAGGCACTTCCGCGGCTGCATGGCCCTTGGTCTGACACCTGTAACATCTAGGAAAAATACTCAGACAACATGTGGGTGATGATGCTGCACCGGGAGAACTGGCAAAGCAGGCCGGACTGATTGGCATCTGAACTTCAAGCCTTCTGTGGGTGTAAGCACGTTTGCATGCCTAGCTTTGGGGGGGGCTGCCGCACCAAGACTCTCAAACTACTTTGTTTCGCATTTCTGGCCAGAGCTTGGCAGGAAGAATGTCAACTACAAGATTGCGGGTGAGAACGGCAGCCACTTCTGCGTGGTGGCCGGGTTCGGGGTCGCGGATGCTTGAGGGACATGTTCAGGCCATTCCTCACACGCAGCAACTTGAGTTTCAAGATTTCCCCGCTCCTATGCTGCAACTGTTGCATCAAGGTCAGAGATGACACAGCCTGTCATCGGCCCAAGCTGCCCGGATGGAGATGGCGACAGATCTGAGGGCTAGGTTGAAAGACTTGGACAAGCCAAAGGTTGTCAGCCAGATGCAGCCCGTTTTTTTGCAGGGACTGTCTTGTTCAAAGTTCCAGTGAGCAAGGTACGGAGAACACACCGCCGCAATGTGATCCCAAGGGCGACTGCGTGGGGGAAGGCACAGTGTTACCAGCAAGGAATGAACACTTGCTGGGAACTAAAGAGGTCAGCGTTGCGGCCCGTTTGTTTAGAGATTGGCGGACAGCCCGAGAAGGTACGACGAGGAGCATGGCAAGCGTGATTGGAGTTCCCTGGGACCGTCTAGAGTTCCCTATCGTGTTCGGGCCCGTGTGTGACCAGCTTCAGGCTTCAGCTGGCACTCGCCGTGGCATCCCGACGGAAAGGGGAGGCAAGCAGGAGGACGAGGAGAAGGAAGAGGAGGAGAAGGAGTTAAGGAGGAGGAGTTGCATCTTTGATAGAAAACATGTGAGCGCACGTCCGTTTGCACGCGCCGACGCCAGGAACATAGGAAAAAACAGTGGTAAAGGACCCGGGATTGTACCAACCCATTTGTTCTTGCTCAACAATGTATTGGACATGTCAAAGTTTTGCAACGTGTTTGTCAAATGTTTGGAGTGAACGATTTCCAATACCAAACTTCATTTGGAACTTCGTAAACTTTAGCTTTGCCTGTGCCACCTTGCCAAATCAGTCGCATGCAGTGATCGGAGTTGTTTTTGGGTCGCCGTGGGTCTGGTGAGGTCCACACCTTCTTTGGACCAGCTTCTGGGGCAGATCCACGGGCAGAAATTCAGGAACGCACCACGTTAGACTCAACGTGTTTGAGCTACAGTTGCTATCTGCTATCATGTGCTGCTATCTGCTATCATGTGCCATAACTGTCCACTAATTTTGACATCGCAAACTTTCACTCCTAGTATTGTCCAAGCTGCTTACACTTCCCAAACTGCTCGAAAGGTTGGGGCCAGCGATATGCTGTGGTCATATTCATGGGGTAGTGTGCGAATGGTTCGGTTCTCGGTGAGCAGGTGACTCCAGTCCCGTAGTTTCGGCCACAAAAACTGGTAGTTTTGCCTTTGCATGTGTTGCAAGTTTGCATTTGTATAGGGTTGGGGTTGGATGTTTTCGATTCAGTGTTGAACACACGATGTTCGGCTCTTCCGGCCCTCCGGCTCAGGTCGTGGTGCCTCCCCGATGAAAAAGGTGTTCAACTCTTTACTCACTTTCTCAAGGTCGAACGATGAAGAACGCACTTTGTGTGCTGTGGTTGGTTGTCCGGAGAGGCTGGAACTATTTGGCGTGAGAAGGCTCCCAAGCAATGAAACAAAACGAATCCTTTATTGAAGACCTTGCTGTAGAATTTGGGTTTGTCATAGGAAGACCGTGTCAGATCAAGTCACAACAGGATTGTTTGCTACACGTGGGTGATTTCGTCATGGCACCTCGGCCAAGACTTTGAACTGACTGAAGCCCGGCCCCTAAGCTTTGCAAAGATGTGTCAACGTCATGAGGTTGAGGCGCGAGAGGATGCCAACGACCAAGACAGAATGAGATTTGGACGGTTGAATTCGAGTGGACACAATAGGCAGAAGACTAGCATAAATTTTGGGATTTGTACACTGTGCATTTTTGCATCTTGCTTTTTGGGGTGGGGGGGGCGTATATGGGCAATTGAAAACTAAAGATGAGGGACATGTTTCGCCATGTTTAGGAGTTTGCCGAGACTCGCAGAACCTCCTTTCAGATTTGTTCTGGATATTTCCGTCAAGTTCTGTGTCTCAGACAGCGCTTTGCATCCCATGTGTTTGGGTCTCATGTGTTTTTTTTGGTCTTCTGAATCATCCCGCTCAGCGGGGTTACATTTGTCGTGTCATGTCCCTCCTGATCCTTCACAATCTGAAGTCTCGAGGCATTGACAAAAATATAGCCTGCATAGCCTGTGGAGAACGCCTGAAGTTGAAAGCGATGATCAATTCATGTCTTTGTTCGGTTTTGTCTTCAGAGGGCAAAATCCCAAAATCCATTGGCCACGCGGCGTTTTCATATGAGCTTGGCCCCCTAATCTACAAGTGAACCCGATGCTTTGAGCGTACGGGTGGACTCATGGACTCGCGGCTCAAGGATGGTCAAGGAGCTTTGTTTAGCCCAGATGGATTTGCTCTTGAGAGCCTTCAAAGAACCTATTTGCTTGTCCAAGTTCAATGAACATTGTCCACCGTTGCTGTATGGTTCAGTGGACGATGGTTAGCAACACTTTGTGTCTCATCTCATCTCATGCTCTCATGCAGCCACTCAGAGGCAGTCTGCATCCAGGCCAGAGGGCAGATCCAGCACCAAAGCACAGAGGGGCCAGCAGCCAGAAAGGCTTCCATCCTAAGCAGGCCTGGTAACACAAGCACATCCCAGCAGAACACACCCATAATCCATGCAGACATCATGCAACCCATCACCAATTAACCTATGATAACCTACCACAAAATGACGATCAGAACCTAATCCAACACCATGCAAAACTTATCATCAACCTATCAGAAAACCAACCCACACCCATTGCATTAGTTGATTATGATTAAACCCCATGCCCCCAAAAAACACACCACCCAATGCATACAAGCAAACTCGAGCCTTCAGAAGAATGGACATGTCCACGTCCATCCGTAGAGGTTCTGTACCCCTGGATCTCCATCATCAGAGCAGAGATGGCCTTGGTACAGATCCTGTTGCCCTGTCCACCACAGAGGGGGCAGCCTCCACACCAGAAGATGACAGAGTCATATCCATGGTCAGAGAGGTCACAGACAGAGACAGATCAGAGCAAGTCAGACGGCAGAGCTAGAGCCCAGAGCGCTGCAATTACAGCATCAATCAACAAGCAGAATCCTGAATAGTTCTGCAACTACAGAATCACCATCACAGAATCCATGCATGCTCATACAGCTTCCCTTCAACTCAAATAATTACACAGAACCCAACAGAATCTCAGAATCAGAAAAAATACCCATCAGAAGCTCATCAGAAACCTTTCAATGACTGCTCAGGCCCTTCAGATATGCATGGGGCCTTCAACAAAATCTTTCAAACATGTTCAATCATGTTCAGAAACATGAGCCTCTTCAGAAGACTGCTCAGCCAGAAGCCCTTCAGAAGCTCTTTTTCACCACTCTGCAGCCTGCAGCGAGTCAGAAAGCAGATTCCAGGCCAGAGATTGCCTCCTCAGCTGCTGAAGGATACCCAGAAGGACCAGCAGCAGCATCCAGAGGCACAGCAGGTGCAGCCCAAGTCCAGCCAGAGCAGTCACATAGAGGCTCAGACATGCCGCCAGCAGCAGCACCCAGAAAGGCAACCTCCAGAGCATCTCAGACGTAGCCAGAACCACCCCCTCCACACACCATTTGCCAGAAGTAGTCCACAGACCAAGGCTATAGAAGAACTCCGTAGCAAGCCAGCAGGCACAGAGCGGCACAGATTTCAGCCCACAAGCTACTCAGAAAGCTCCAGAAATTAGCTAGATATGTAGTTCATTAAAATGAAAGCGGAATGAAAGCAACATGAAAGCAAATGCAAGCAGACTGAAAGCAAATGGAAGCAGAATGAAAGCAGCTAGTAGTAGCAGTAGTAGTAGTAGTTGCTCTTCTCAGCTGGATGCTGCTCCACCAGTTTCGCTCTCTTGATGAGTCCAAGTCGAGTCCGGTCAAGCCTCTCAAGCCTAAGTGAAGAGGAGCAAAAGCGTGGAGCAAGGAGAAGAAAGGATTTGGAAGCGTTCCTCCATATATGAATCAGAAATGCTATACAGAGAACCTGGAGGTTTGTGCTTATAACTTATGTGTTCAACTTACCAGAGTTAAACAAGGTGGGACGTTCCACTTAGGTCAAAGTCAAACATACCCTCGAATCTTGCCTTTGAGGCATAGCCTCCGAAATAGGCTATTGCTTCATATTGTTTCAGTCTTTACACTGCGCAAGGTGCAACCCGAAGTCTTGCCAAAAAACCACACCGACAAAATCACCTTGACCAACCCTAAGCACCTAAGCTCAACTCATCCAATCGCAGTGTCCTGACATGACGGTGGAACCAGCATGCGTGCAATCCAATAGCTGAATTTGACCTCACATCGAATGCTCACCATCCGGGTTGGACCACAGGCAATGCGCCTAGGGTAAGTAGGCTTTGCGATGTCCGCTTGCTTGAGGTGCGAGGCTTTCGGTTGGTGCCCCTTGGGATTTGTGCAGCGAGAACCTCAAGCCTGCATGCATGCATGTGCGTGGGCAAGTCTGTGCAATGAATGGTGCAACGAATGCGAGAAGCTGACAAAGGCTGGGAACAAGTCGAAGGAGAAGGCGAGACAAAGTCCTCAAAACGAGGGGAGTAAAGTGTGGAGATGTGTGGAGCTCTTTGCTTGCTTAGCAGGGTCCATCAACATCCGTGAATTGGAGATCCAACAAATGGGTTGTTGGAGCTCAGAGATGTTTGTTTCGTTTCTTCATTTGTTCTCTCAGTATATCAGCACACTGCAGCTTCAGCTAAGGCCTCGCAAAGAAAGCGTGCCAGAAGTGCTGGCCGACTTTCGAGCCTTTCCTCTTTTCAGGCGGGCCCGTTAGTTGGCTGTCAGCTTCTTACAGGAGTGCGCCTTGCAATTCCACACGCCTAGGAAGGTCATGAACCTGACAGCGCTCTTTAGACCGCAGCTCTTCCAACTACATTTGCAGGCTTATGGCCTTGCGTGTGCGCAGCCAACTGAAAAGGTCGAAGACTCTTCTGGAGTCATACCCTGTTGAGTAACTTCCCAGGGCTACGTAGCCAGGTGGAAGGAACATACATATAGTATTGTTAAGTTGCGTTAAGCTGGCGCCCGCAAAGCCGCCAAATGAAGCAGTTAAGAAACCCTCCACTCAGGAAGTGCCTGAAAATTTGCCTTTTTTGGAAGAGGTCGCGGAGCCCTGGTAAACCGATAAGAAGCAAAATTCGATAAGGTCCCGATACTGCACCGTTGGTTACGGTTACAGTAGTCTTCTGGGCGAGGGGTCGAATATCCACCTTGTTTGGTGTCAAATATCTCCCCTTGAGTTTAGTGACATAGGGGTCTTGGACATTGCTTTATCGGACCTAGGGGCATTGGACAGTGCAATTTGATGGCACGCGCTAGGAGCACGGGGAATGGTTTTGTTGAGCACACAGGTTTGGGACAGTGCGTTGTCAGACATAGATGTTGCGGACATTGGCGTTTCGGACATGGGTGTCTCCGACAGTGAGGTCTCAGATGGATGGCACGTGCAAGGGAATTGTTTTTGTCGAGCAGCGGCTTGGGACAGCGCGGTGTTGGACATATAGAGGTCTCGGACATGGATGTCTTGGACAGTGAGGTCTCGGACATTGGCGTCTTGGAGAGTGAGGTCGGACATGCTGCCCTTCTTGCCGCGCAGCCTGAGCGCAAGGAATGTGGTGCCCTCGTCTCGGACACCCAGGTCTCGGACATAGAGGTCTTGGACAATGTCTCGAACAGTGTTGTGAGGTCTCGGACATGCTGCTTTTCAGCCGTGGCACGCCGAATGGGGCATTGGGTTGGTGGTTCCCAGCTTATGTAGAAGTTTTGAGACATCTGTGTTCAGAGAATTGGTGATGATATCTCACAAGAGTTTCGTAACACCTCTCCCCGTCAGTGAAAAGAGGTCAAAACAACGAAGCACGGTGTTTCCACACAAAAAGTGCTGACCGAGTCAAACTTTTAGCTTTTTTGAAATAATGTTCAGATGGAAAAGTGTAACTGCATATTTTTGTTTTTGAGTCCATATGGTTTCCTTTCTCAAGCTGCTTTCAAACAGGAACTGTGCAGGTAAAGCGTGGCGTGTTCATATTCATTCTGGTTCTTTAAGGTTATAAGCAGTATTTTTTCTTTCTCCTGCCCTCCCCACCTGAATGCTGGGCACCCTCATCCATACCAAAGGGGCGATAAGCCGTACAATTTAGTGGAGGAAGGTGCCATTCCAACGGCGCACGCCTTTTTGTTGCCACGCGGGTGGAATTTAGAAGAGGAAGCTGCCATTCCAACCACCCCGAGGGTACAGTTTACGGGAGGAAAGCGGCATTAGGCGCCACGCCAAAAGCGCGCGCCTTTTGTGCGCCACCCGGCGGTAAAATTTAGAGGAGGGAGGTGCCATTCCAACAGCGCACCGCCCGAGGGTAAAAGTTAGAGGAGAGAGGCGCCAATCCCGGCGCATGCCTTTTATTTGGAAACCACGCGAGGGTAGTTTCTTTAGAAGGGGAAGATGCCACTCCAACGCGCGTACTTCAGTGAGCCACTTGAGGGTAAAATTTAGAGGAGAGGTACCAGGCAAAAGGCGCATGCATTTTGAGCCCTGGGCAAAAGAAGGAAGGTGCCATTCCAACAGTGCAAGCTGCAAGCCTGTTTCTATCCGCCCGATGGAAAAATGTAGAGGTGCCATTCCAGCGGTGCGGATGCCTTTTGGGCGCCGCCCGAAAGCAAAATTTGGAGGAGGTGCCATTCCAACGGCGCATGCGTTTTGTGAGCCAGGCCGGGTCAAAATTTACAGGAGGAAGGTGCCATTCCAACGGTCATTCCTTTTTGTGATCCAAAAAAGAGTTTCAACGCCGCATACCTTTTGTGAGCCACCCGATGGTAGAATTTAGGGGAGGAAGGTGCCATTCCAACAGCGCATGCCTTTTGTGAGCTACCCGAGGGAAAAATTTTTCAGAAGGAAGCCATTCCAAATGCACTCAGCTTTGCATACCTTTAGTGAGCCACCCGCGCGTAAAATTAAAAGAGGAAGGTGCCATTTCAGCGGCGCTGCTTTTGTGAGCCACCCGAGTTGAGAGGCGGTGCCATTCCAACAGTGTCCACACATGTGTTCTGGCACCTCTTCCTCATCTTTTGGAATGCCACAGGGATGTCACCTTGGCTTTTTCTGTTTGCCTTTTCCAGGCAAGGGGCTTGCCCCCCGCATTTGTTGGAGGGAACCCACACTTGCAAAAAAAACGCAACCAAAACTCAATGCCTTCTCCAGGCAAGCCTTCCAAGCAAAACAAGAGAAACAGGGTGGTCGAGCTTGCAGGAGAACATAGACTTGAGTTTAAATAGCTACAGAAACAAAATCTCTGCATATGTCGGTATACATATGCATAGATATACCGCGCCAAAAGTCGTCTTCAACCCTGAAAGATTTGGGCTTAGCCCTAACCCCAACCCTAGAGCATCTACCCAACACCACCTTAAGGCTCCTTTGCCCTTTGCTTCTTTTCACTCGCTAAAAGGTCTGTGCACCAGTTTTGGTGCCATGCCTGGAGCTCTCATGCCTTCAGTAGGTTGATGTCGCGACCCCACCAACTGAGCTATTGGAGCTTCTGTTGCGGCAATTGGGGCGTGCGTAACAGAAATTGTTTTCACCTGATGGGCTCCTCAGCCGCCCGAAAAAAGAAACGCATTGAATTTCGCAAAGTGTAAACCATTCTGGCCTCCCGTCGACAGGCCTTGTCGGCAGGCGGCAGGGCCAGACACGGGGCCGACGGAGCTTCATCTTCAGGGCCAGCCGCTTGGACTTGAGGGGCCCCAGACGTCGCCATAAAGGAGCGCGTGCGCCCGATGCGTGCTGCAGGGAGATGATGTTGGGGCGTGCGCCCGCGGTTTGCCTCACACAAGCAAGCCAGTTGGGCCAGTCGATGTGGATTGAAAAGTTCATTGCGTGCTGCAGTTGGTTTTGGTGAGTTGACATTGCACTTCGGACGTCCGACACACACACACACACGCACCTGATCTCATGATCTCCGTACTGAAAAGGTCGCGCCAACCAAGCCTACATGTCACTTGTAGGTGCTCTCTGGCCACGCTTAACAGACTGTGTAAAACGATGAGGTTTGTCTCCTAGAAGCCGATTCCCAGAAAACGATAAGGAGTAGAAAAACGATAGCCCGATAACCCTATTATACGAGACATTTTTTAGAGAGTCCATGCCTTTTTTCACAACCTCAAATGACCCCACATCAGCATTGTCCGGCGTGAGTGACTGGCCCAGATCAAAGCCAACATGTCCTGGATTTGGGACGGCTTTGTCGCAGGCGGGTAGGAACCCAAAAAGATGCCACGCGCAAGATCTAAAATGTGACTGATAAACAATATGTAGCTGGCAGCGGCAAGGCCGGCGCAAAGAACACATGGACGATGGAACCCAGACGCAAAAGGGTTTTGAAAGAATGCAATGGCGCAAAACAAAACAAATGACAAAGGGTTGCCATTTGTATAAGCGAACGTGCAGCCGGAAAACTTAGCAGAAAACACAACTTTGATTTTCTATGGAGTCATCACGCTAAAGTGCGTCCAGTCCATGCTCTCTTAACATGGCCCTGGAACATTCTAGTTCCATCCCCGTTGAAATTTTCTTTCTAAAATGATGGGCCTGGAGGCCACTATAGGGCTTTCATTTTGTAATAAATTTATGTTGGCCATGTTTAAAATGATGTTACGGCCTAGCACTTTGTAGACAGGCGTGTTTGACGCCTACGGCGCGCGGAGTATTTTGTAGTGAAAGAAGGGGGGGTGGGTCCCACCATTTTGTAATAACATTAGTTTACTATAGAATGGCCATGTGGTAGTGCAACAATTCATTATGTAAGCAATCTGAATCATTTTGTAAGGTCGTAACATCATTTTAAAGGTGGCCAACATAAATTTATTGTAAGGCCACTCAGTTGGAAAGTTTGATCTCCCCGGGGAACTATGGGGGGTCGATGGGTTTTGATACACAGCCATGCAGGCCTATGCCGTTGTCTTGCTACTGGATTCCATTAGATACCATGCCTATCGGGCTGTAAACACTCTTCGTTCAAACGGCCATTTTAGTGGACCAAACCCATCATGCCTTCACCAGGGCCCACAGGTTCCGACGGAGCTTTGCAGGGGACTCCCAGGCCACTCAGTTGGAAAGTTTGATCTCCTCCATGAACCTGTAATGAAAAGTTGTTCACGCCGGAGAACTATGGGGGGTCGATGGGTTTTGATACACAGCCATGCAGGCCTATGCCGTTGTCTTGCTACTGGATTCCATTAGATACCATGCCTATCGGGCTGTAAACACTCTTCGTTCAAACGGCCCCCCGGCCCAGGGGCCATTTTAGCTGGATCTGCTTGGCCTGGGCAACTGTTTCACCTTGCGGTGTCCCCGGCGCCGCCCCGCCCAGGCGTCAGCTAGGCAGGGGTCGGCGGATTACAAAATGAAAGCCCTATATAAGTGGAATCCAGGCCCATCATTTTAGAAAGGAAATTTCAACGGGGATCCCCCAAGAGATTGAAAACCATGAGCAGACAGACAGATTCGAGAGGTGGAGAAAAAGAGCACGAGCATTTTGTAAACAAACATCATCAGGAACACATTTTGTAAAGTTGAAAGGCCGAATAGACTTGATCAATTTGTAGACAAACGGACTCATCTAGTAGAGAGTAGGGAGACAACAAACTCTACAAAATGATATCATCTTTTTTATTCCCTGGGAGGGCCCATCATTCTGTAGATGTTGTGCATTTTTCATGTTTCTACACAATGACATACAGTGACCTCAAGCGCTGCATTTTGTAGGTATTTCATGGTTTGTCGTACTTTTTTTGCACCCACCATTTTGTAGATAGTGTCATTTCGTAGAGCCAGTTTTTACAAAATGACTGTCTCGACCCCA